ATCCCATTGTGTAGGAGGGTCCTGCTAATCCAGATCCCATTATGTATGAGGGTCCTGCTACTCTAATTCCCATTATGTAGGAGGCTAAACTAAATCAGGGTCCTGCTAATTTAGATCCCATTGACATTATGTAGGAGGGTCCTGCCAATCCCATTATGTATGAGGGTCCTGCTAATCTAAATCTCATTATGTAGGAGGGTATTGCTACTCTAATTCCCATTATGTAGGAGGGTCCTGCTACTCTAATTCCCATTATGTAGGAGGGTCCTGCTAAACTAAATCCCATTATGTAGGAGGGGTCCTGCTACTCTAATTCTCATTACTTAGGAAGATCTCAATTAACAGAATCATCAAATAAAATTACCATAATATTTTATCCCTTTTTTTTTGTAGTGTTTAGATGTCTTATATTAGGAATGTTTATCCTAGTAAAAAATAAAATAAAATATAATAATAATAATAATTGTCTCACACTAGAAAATGTTTATTCTAGGAGAGAAAGTAGAAAAATAATAATAATAATAACGGTCTCCGCCTAGAAAATGCTTATCCTAGAGAAAAATGAGAAATAAATATCTCAGACTAGGAAATGTTTATCATAGGAGAAACAATGCAATAATTATTATTTTTTCTTGCAATAATATTAACAAATTTGAGTCTTCAAGATATCTTTTACGTAAGGAACATTTTCCTGTTTTTGAAAAGAAACAAAAGAAAGTTTATGTTTTTTTTTATAATGGTGGTCGATTTGTGGCATTGGCTTTGAGGATAGTTGCTCCTGTTGTTGCCATGTTTGAAGCTAATTTTAGCTTGAGATTGACTTCTTTCGTTTGCTAGTCAGCTCACCTTGATAATCTTGAAAACATCTCTAATTGTTCAGAACTTCTAACTTCAAATTTGTTATATTGTTTCCACCCTCCAACAATAATTGAACCTTGTATTCAAAAATTGTCAATTGCTGACAAGTTACTATGCATATCACTATTTCTTGAATCATGTCACGATTGATAGGCTAATCAAACTTTGTTTTGTGCAATTGAAGAGATGGTAGCAATTTTGAAATCATTTTTTGCTTGCTTAATGAAGACTATCTCAAGATTGAATTGAGTGAGACGCAAAAATAAGAAGAAATAATATTTGATCCTTTAAAGAAGAAGAAAACAATAAATAAAAATAAATGGATTCCATTGATAGTGGTGGTCAATTCTAATGATCATGACATGCATTTTGGATTAAATGGTCTGGTCTGTCCAATCAATCTAAACT